TAATTCCCGTGTCTAAATTGTAAAATAAAACTAATTTGTAACCCTAAGCTTAACCCTAACCTAAACCCTACGGTTAACAGGAACCGAAACCTTAACCTCAACCCTCCCATTAATCCTTAAGTTAATTTCTCCGGAATGCGGTGCATAGCCACATGCATTGTGGGCGGTCCCTGTTCCCATGGAGTGTAGCAATCACGTTGACAGGTCTGGCGCCAGCTAGGCTAAATGCGGCTTCATACCTTAGCACCTACATGCGTGCCGCTGCCAGTTCCTTTGGCGACAAGTTCGTCGTATTTGGATGACGTCGGAGCAGTCAGATTGCGGAAGTTTATCTCCCCTTCCGCTTCGCTCCTGTTCGCGAATTCGCCCGGCCACACTATCCACTGAAGTGCTTTTGCGACGTTCTCGCCGACGAACACGCTGCACCTCCTCTTATCTCGCTCAATACTCTGACGGTATTTGCGGTCGGTCTCGAATGCCAGTCTTGAAGGAGCTCCCTGTAGGGTTTCATTATAGCGCGTGTCGATTAATCGGGACGGAACTGCTTGAAGTCCAAGACTCCACCTTAAGGATGACCTGTATGGCAACTGCCTAAACAGGACACGGGAATAGGAACGCACCGCCCACTCAAAACAGGTGACCTTGCGATAACTTTCAGAAAGTCAAAATATTTCAGTGTCTTAACCATAAAATCTAACCCTCACATACAGCTAGGTTGTAACTTTAATCTTAACCGTTGCCCTAACCTAACCTAAAGTATAAACCCAAAACGAACACAAACCTTGACCCCAACCCTAAACCTAACCCCTACCCTCACCGTAATCCTAAACCTGACTGTCCCGGAATTTGGAGCAAATCCACATGTGGATTGTGGGCGGTTCCTGTTTATGTGTTGTTTTTAGGCCATACACGTCACCATTACCAATCCCCGCCCATATTACGGGGGGGGAGTGGAATTTCTAATTCTATGTGTCACCGAACGCGGAATTCCACAAGATAATAAAGACGGTGAAAAGGAACGTCCAACAGGCAAGTATGGGCACCGATAGTTAGGGAAAGAATGCCAGAGTTCGAGCAATACCTTGTTGACATTTCCCTAAAACGATTCATCAATGGACGTAAAGATAAAGATTTGTAGTGGAGTGAGCATAGTAGTGAACAAGAGTGGCCGAAATTAAGGGAAGGTTTGCTATGCGTTGTTCAAAAGAGGACGTTTGTCAATCCACTGAGGTAATAAGCCCAGAAGAACAACTTTGTTCCTCTCCAACTGGGTCTACGCGCGAGGCAACAGAAGACTGGCAGTCATTGATCGTCAAATGCGTGTTAGCTGATAGAGTTTGTAAAACGGAGAACCCGGTTCACCGATCACAAACAAGGCTGTTTAATAAATATGGATCGGAATACGCTGTGGTAAACAGGTGAAGAGTTACAACACGCCTTACACACGAGAGTAGATGAACAAAGTCGTGCATCTGGAAGCGGAAGCTAAGTTTAATTAGACGCGCTGGCAGATTAATATGTAGGTTAAGTGTCAAAAGATAAACAGCAGACGAAAAAGAACCGCGGAGATAATGCCCATTTTCCTGAAAGTAAGAAAAAAAGAAGTTCCTACAAAGACAACTGTGACACGTACCTGTACTGCCGCGCTGCTTCTCAACGTCCACATTGGCGAATTCGATGAGAGCCACAGCCAGCTTTTTCATCTGCAGGAAGACCGGACCGCTCTGCGAATGACACAACTCCGAAAAGAGCTCAGCGGCAATCGCCTGTCGCGTATCCTTTTCAGGCGCAACAACGGGCACTGACAGCTAACGAGGG